AGCACTAAGAGACTTTTTTAGGACTTTTCAGCCTCTTGCACAGGCACAGTTCAGCTAACTTCTTGGTATTATACAGGACTTGAGTACTTCGTAAGTGCGACTGCTAGTCATGTAAATCCGGGTTCGAATCCCGCGCGGGCCAAAATTAGTTATTAAGTTTTTCTGTCAAGAAATTTTCAGTAGCAGGACGGGGTTGGCACCCTCCTTTGCGATCAGTGAGGCAAAACGATCGGTTTGATGTCCTGCGGAGATGCAAAAGGGTGAATAAGCAATTTAAAGTTCAGAAAATCCAGAAGTGCACGCCACATAACCCTCATTTAATTTTTAAGAAAAAACTGTATTCCTGGTTTTAAAATATATTATTTACCTACGTGTTTCAAATTTAGCGCTCCCTTATTTTAACAGGTCCTGCAGGGGAACCTACAGTCATGTAACCTACAGGGGAAAAAAGATTTCTCTATCTCATTTTAATCGGATTAAGTGATGCAATCGTTTTCATGTGAGAGAAATACCTCAACCGCTTCGCGTTATGAGGCATACAAAATATTTACCAAATTAAATCGATTACACAAACTATAAAATCGATATAGGCTGTATGGTACATTTGTCCTCTATCTATCAATACTACAAAAATTATCAAAATCAAAATTAAAAACAAATGGAAATCACTTGGTAGAAGGTACATTTATAAAAATATAAATCATTTTATCAAACTACGCGTACTAGGCTATCGATATTATGTTATAGGGAGAACCAGTTGATGTAACTCTGAAGCTAAAAAAAACCCCGATCTCGATGCGTCAATTTGTTCGGGAGTTATCATGACCACATACAAAATCAGGGTACAGACATCCGGACGTCCACGTAATTTTTTCAACCCGTTTTTAAGGTAGCAATATAAAATGATTGTTTAGAAAATATAAGATGTTTAAATTCGGTTGTTTTTTATATAGGGTACTCATATTATCGGTTAAATGCAATATAGTTAAGATAAAGGCATATTAAGATCCCAAAATTGTTTGACCTAGACGTGTCGGGTGTAAAGCACTACCTCAACCGCTTCGCGTTATGGAGCGTTACGTCGTGTAATTCCTGCGTATATGCTTCAGATGGAATTGTGGTCAGGACAGCCAGACTCAACAGAACCTAGCCGTCTTTTACTTGTTCAGCTGTAGTGCTGCAGCACAGGCTTTTTAAGTGTATTGTCTTATCTTTAAGATATAGTTTCTTCTTTTTTCTATAATTACTTTTTATTAAATAAACGTGTTTTTCTTTTTTTTCGTACCATCGGTTGGACTGTGTGTTCATTTCTCACCCTTACATTTATAATGATTTCTTATATTTACGCGAACATCATCATCAATCACCTTACGTTTATGCTAAAAAAAACTTTGAAAGAACATAGAGAGAACTTGTGCGACTAATTCTTGTCATTAATTTGTAAGCGGAAAAAATCCCGCTCATTTTAACTCTTCTCATTTAACCTGTAGTTAAATCTGACTGCAAATCTCAATTAAACTTCACAAAGGTCTCATGTAATTCTATTTTATTATAAATAGACCCTGGGACCTTAGGTCATTTCGTTGATAATTTACTTCCCGAACCAAATTCATCTTTGTGCAAATATCTTATAGAAATACGAGCTGGGCCGACAAATGTTATTCTGCTCTTTCCGGTAGATGGCGATAAGAGTTTCATTTCGAAATAATTAGAAATTCATTAGTTTTTGTATCTTAATTTTTTAAATATTTATTGAATTACATCACAGATATTTCGTCCTATTTTGTCACGGGTATTTAAAAAAAAACACATATGCAAATTTATGGTTAAATCTTCACATCTGTACAATATAGCCGTATAAAGCAAAATAGAATGAGAAAAGCAAATTATGCACAAAATATTTTTTGGCGGTAGTTGTAAAATAAAATGCACATTGTTCATCATCATCATCATCATTACAGCCCTTCACAAGTCCACTGCTGAACATAGGCCTCCCCCAAGTAATGCCACAAAGCACGGTCCTGAGCCACCTGCATCCATCGACTTCCTGCATGTCTCACCAGGTCGTCACTCCATCTAGTAGGGGGTCGCCCTACACTACGCCTACCGGTACAAGGCTGCCACTCGAGAACCTTTCTTCCCCATCGGTTATCGGTTCTTCGAGCTATATGGCTGGCCCATTGCCACTTCAGCTTAGTAATCCGTTGGGCTATGTCGGTCACTCTGGTTTTACTGCGGATATCAATACTTCATTTCTGAGTCTATCACGCAGAGAAACTCCGAGCATAGCCCTCTCATAGAAGGTGAGTGATGTACTCGCCATTGATGTTAATACCGTATCCTTTCCAGTCCAGAAGCTTGAAAACGTCTTCCAAGGCAGCGGTGAAGAGTTTCGGGGATATAACGTCACCCTGTCTTACACCTCTCTGCAGTTGGATAGGTTTCGAACTCTGGTCCTATACTTGGATAGCCATCGTAGCCCTACTGTACAAACACTTTAGCACTTCGATATAACGACAATCAACTTGGCACCACTGAAGGGACTGTAGCACCGCCCAAATTTCAACGGAATCAAAGGCTTTCTCATAGTCCACATATGCCAGGCAAAGTGGCAGATTGTATTCTTCGGCACATTGTTTAAAATAATTAAATTATTTTTAGTAATTTACAGTATACTAGTTTACAGTTTTTGGTATTTTTGTGCATTTAAGTACATAAATAGTAGGCTTAATTCACCTTAATGGTATAACTGTGATAAAGATAATTATTATTATTATTATGGGGTATCTATATAGTTTTCTCATCTGGTTGGGTTCTATAAATATATAATTATAAATGAAAATGAAAAGATAAATATACATAAATATCAATAACATAAATTAAATATAAAAGTACATAAATAAGTAAAAGCCCAACCAGATGGAGGCCCTCGGCAGGGGAGACCAAACGGCCGAGGGTTAGGGGGAAAGGGAAAGAAACCGGCGGACGATGCGGGCGGTATCGAGGAGCACCGCCTTCTGCATTTGAACCTGGAGCGGTCCGCCACGTAGTCCCAGCCGCCTCAGATGACCCGAGAGGCTGACTGGGATTAGCCCGTTTGCAGAGACGACTACAGGAATAATTTCGGTCGGCAGACCACCCCACATGTCGGTCACCTCGTGAGCCAGGTCCAGATATTTTGTTTTCTTGTCTGTTTCGGCTTTCACGAGGTTCTCGTCATACGGAATGGTAATGTCGACCAAAAATATCCTTGACTGTGCCCGGTCCATCAGCACAATATCAGGTTTATTCGCAAGAATAGTCCTGTCTGTGATGATGGCCCGGTCCCAATAGAGCCTGGCGCGATCATTTTCGAGCACGGCTTCCGGCAAGTACTTGTAATACGGCAATTTCCGATCCACGAGACCGTATTTCAGAGCGAGCTCCTGGTGTAGAATTCTGGCTACTAGGTTGTGCCTGTGCAAGTACTCAGAGTTAGAAAGCGCCGAACAACCGGAGATAACATGCCTAAGTGACTCACCGGGATGGCGACAAGCTCGACAGATGTCGACGGTGCCATCCTTTAGGATGTATCTCCGATAGTTGTTGGTCTTAATAACCTGATCCTGTATTGCACAGACAAAACCCTCGGTTTCCCCCGAAGAGATCACCAAAGCGTAGCCAGTGGAGGGAGGCTACTGTGTCTACGAAAGGCTCATGTAGAGCCTTGTAGAACCTCCCGTGGAGCTCCTTCTCCTTCCATACGGTCTCCCGGTCGGAAATGCTCTGCACTGCCGGGTCTTGCCATTGCTCGTTGGCTAAGGATAGAGGGGTAAGTCCTTTATCACAAGAAATGACGTCCTTATAGAATGGATCATCCGATCTCGCAAGGAAGTAATCACGGAGGCTGCACACTTCGCGATTATGCATGGTGAGCGCGCTCAAGAAGCCACGACCACCATGCTTCCGCGGCAAGTACAGCCTCATTACCGACGATCTCGGATGATGCATCCTATGGGACGTCATGGTAGTGCGGACTTTTCTATCCAGGGCGTTAAGTTCAGTCTGAGTCCACCTGAGTATGCCAAAGGTATACATGAGGACAGGCATGACCCAACCGTTATATGCGTGTGCCTTATTCACACCGGACAAAAGGCTGTTAAGCACTTTGGTCAAGCGTGCATAAAACACGTCGCAAACTGACTGTTTCATACCAGCCTCATCGATACCGATGTTCTGTGACATACCCAGGTATCGGTATGTTTCAGCCTCGGAAAGGGTTCTTAAGTTGACGGGCATAGATAAGTCTATGCCCTCAGAGTCAGCAACCCTTCCCCTTTCAACATGGAGGACCGCACACTTATCCGTCCCCAGCTCCATTCTAATAGAATTGCTAAATTCACACGTGATGTTTAGCAATTCCATAAGATGGGAGCGACTGGAGGCGAATAATTTGAGGTCATCCATGTAAAAAAGGTGGGTCACTTTTGTACCTCCTTTCCGAAGCCGAAATCCCTTCCCGGAGCCCTACAGTAAAGTACTGAGAGGGTTCAAAGAGAGGCAGAACCAGATTGGACTCAGACAGTCGCCCTGGAATATACCCCTTCTTATCCTTATGCGGCTTTCCGCAGCCGTCATCCGCTCGCCTAGATGACAGAGGATCGTACTCCACTGCCCCATACACTGCTCGAGGAAGTCTCGAACTGTATAGTCAATCTTGTACAGCTCGAGGACCCTCTTTAGCCATGTATGGGGCACCGAGTCAAATGCCTTTCTGTAATCTATCCAGGCGGCGGAGAAGTTCCGACGGTTGCGTTTCACCACTTTGCCAATGACCGCGTCAATGAGGAGTGGTTCCTTGGTTCCACGACCGCCGCCCCGACATCCATTTTGAGCGCGCGACATCACCTGATTTAAGTCCAGGTGACGAGCGATTCTTGCGCTCAAAATGGATGTTAGTGTCTTTTTTTTTTTTTTTTTTATAAATTTTTTTTTTTTTAAAAAAAAAATATAAAAAAAACCTAATTTTTATTTTTTTTTTTTTTGTATATGGTCGGTAGACACGTGATGGGGCGGTATTTGCTCGGGTCTGTGGCACCCTGATCTTTAGGAACCAAATGAGTGATCCCAGTAGTGAAGAGGCTTGGGAGCGACTTCTGGTTGAGAGCCTCTTGAAACTGTCGGGCGAGCACAGAGTGACACACCATGAACCCCTTCAGCCAGTAGTGATGCAGCCCGTCAAGCCCCGGACTTTTCCAGTTCGGGGCCCTACGGACCGCCTCAGCTACGTCATCCGGCGTTATGATGACGGGGTCCATGGGCGTAATACTCGCACACTGACTCGCCACAACTTCCGTCCAAGGGCCCTCGTTGTGGTTTACGGGCTCTGACCACAGGCTGCGCCAGAATGCGACCGTGTCGGCCTGATTTGGTGCAGGGCCCGTTCCACTTACTATTGGTCGCTGCAATGATTTATAGAGCCTCTTCTGATCACTCTGGAAGAGACGATTCTGGTTGAACCGTGTCGACCTCTCGGTATATCGCCGAATCCGCTTTCCCCAAGCAGCTATTCTTTGCTTCAGGTCGTCTATGCGCTCCGTCAGTTTTTGCATTATATCCGGCTGGGACAAACTAACATTTGTCCCAGCAAACGCCATCCTGACGGTGCGCACAATCCTTGGCCTGGTATTGCCTGACCTGAAGCATATCAGTCTGCCGATGAGGGCCCTAGCCTTTGCGATACGTTCTTCAATTCTTATTCTCCAGGCTGGGATAGCACTACTTTGTCCAGTAGCACGTCCAGCCGTGGAAAGTTTGGCACCTATAATACGGCAGACTGCCAGTGCGGCGCCAAAAAGAATTGAGTCCGTATCGCAAAGGTCCCGGCTGGCTTCCAAATAGGTAACCAGCATTGGGTTCAGAGCCCTCACGACAGCCCGATTCCGCTTGCTTAGGGCTAAGCGGGGAAGTCGCGGTCGTTTTTCGAGAGTCGTACTGCGCGTTTCCACAATCGCCTCTTCCAATGTACTCCTCATTTGCTCTAGTTCCAGTTCCTGGGCGACTGTTCCATCATCGTTTGAATCAACCACAACTGGCGTATTCACGGCGGCATCCAGATTTGCCGTTTGCTCAGCAAGTTGTGGCGCCGCATCCTCAGCCGCAGCATTTTCACCCGATGAAGGAACAGCCTCACGTCGTAGCCGTTCGAGTTCGGTGACATCAAATGTATTTGAGCGCAAGATATACCGAACTCGGTCTGCCAGGTTTTGCTCGGTGACGGTTACAGATGGCTCCAGCTCAGCAAAAAGTCGATGCATCCTTGCCCGATACGCAAAACCTCCAGTTTCTCCCCCTTTCGCCCTAAAATACGCCCGCAATGCGTTATTATTATTATTTACGGTAAGTGTTTTCACTTCTCAGCTCTAGGCTGGATTTCAACTACATTTACGGGCCGAAGCCAAAGCAAATGCAGCGTGTGGTGTGTAGTGTAGTTCATGTGATTTGATGAGGTTCTATTTCGTTTTCTTCTATCTGCATGAATTTCCTAACTATTCTGCATGTATTTAATATAGCTGCTTTTTGAAGTGTAATATATAGAGTTTCTTTTAGTTGTAATAATTTTAAGCTACGGAGGAGATGATTTGGGATGACACCTGTTGTGGAGAGGACTATAGGGACCACATATACTTTTTCTTGTTGCCAGATTCTAGTCACTTCATCTTTAAGTTCTGCGTACTTACAAATTTTTTCAGTTATCGTCTTCTGCAAGTTGTGTGTGTTGGGGACTGCAATGTCTATCAGGTAAGTAATATTATTTATTTTATCTTGTAGAATTATATCTGGTCGGTTATAGTGGATTGTCCTATCGGTGAGAATGCCGCGGTCGTAAAAAAGTTTATGTGTGGTGTTTTCTAGAGTATGTTTTGGTCTATAATTGTAGTACGGAGTGTTGGCATCTGGAATGAGTGCGTGTTTGAGTGCTAGTTTTTGATGAATGACATTGGCCACCTGGTTGTGTCTGTGAGTGTAGTCAGTCTGTGTGAGAGTTGTGCATGCGCCTGTGATGTGTTGAATGGTTTCTGGATGTGTGTGGCATTTGCGACATTTGTCATTATTTACTGTAGGATCTTTGATTATATATTTTCTGTAATTTTTTGTGTTTATGATCTGGTCTTGAATAGCTATTATAAATCCTTCTGTTTCTGGAAATAAGTTGCCTATTTTCAGCCACTTATTTGAAGCTAACTTATTTATGTGGGATTGCTCTAAGTCATGAGGGTGCCGACCGTGGAGAACTTTCTTCTTCCATTCGTCAATTTTGTGTGTCTGTGGGTTATCACTAGTAGTGTTTTGGGATTCAATCTGATTGCTTAAGTTAAGTGGAGTGTAGTTAATATCATTCGTTACGATGGCTTTATGAATATTGCTAGTATGGGATTTTGTATAGAAGAATGATTTTAATCGACTAACTTGTTTCCGCCATAGGTGCTGGATATCCATTAGGCCTCTCCCTCCATGTTCTCGTTTTATTGTTAGTCTCTCTATGGCGGATTTAGGGTGTAGGTTATTGTGTTTCGTGAGTGTTGTACGTGTAGTTCGCTCTAATTGTTCTGCATCAGTTTTGGACCATTTTATAACTCCGAATGAGTACGTTAATATGGGGATGGCATAGGTGTTAATGGCTTTGATGAGATGTTTACTTGAAAGTTGAGTTTTACAAACGGCGTTAAGTCTTCTCTTGTATTCCGTAGTGAGAGAATTTTTAATTCGTACGTGGTCAAGACTTTTAAGTTGGACATACCCTAAATATTTGTATAAGTCAGTCGATTCCATTGCTGTAATAGCCTCCGTTTCATTTACCACATAGTCGCCGGGCCTTACTTTGCCTCTTACAATGTGAAGTGTTTTACATTTATCTAAACCAAAATTCATATTAATATCGCTACTGAATTCTGTTGTTATATCTATTAATTTCTTCATATCCTTGTCTGTTTTTGCATATAATTTGATGTCGTCCATGTATATAAGATGCGATATTGTTGTTTCGTCTGTATTAAGTTTGAGGCAATATCCGGCCCCGCAGCTCTGCAGCAAATGAGACAGAGGGTTTAGGGCGAGACAGAACCACAGTGGGCTCAGGGAGTCACCTTGGTAGATGCCTTTTGTGATTGAGATTTGTCGCGTGGTGACAGTATTTTGGTTACAATTTATTTGTAGTGTTGTTTTCCATTGTAACATTATTCGGCGTAAGAAATCGATTATTTTCGGATTTATTCTATAAATTTCTAATATTTTTAATAACCATGAATGAGGAACACTGTCAAACGCTTTTTTATAATCAATATAGGTGCAATGTAAATTTCTATTTTTAGAGATGGCGTGTTTATGAATAGTGGAATCAATTATCAGCTGTTCTTTACATCCCATGTGGCCCTGTCTACATCCCTTCTGTTCTTCTGCTATTATATTGTGGTGTTCAATGTGCGACTGAATTTTCTTTGTGATTGCAGATGTCAATATTTTGTAAATTGTGGGTAGGCATGTAATTGGTCGGTATTGGGAAGGCTGAGGTGAATTTTTAGTTTTAGGTAGCATATAAGTAATTCCTGTTGCAATAAATTCGGGAGTGTTCTGTTGTCCTGTTATTATATCTGTTAAATTTCTTGCTAAAGGTTTGTGTAGAGACGTTAATTTTTTGTACCAAAAATTATGAATTTTGTCTATACCAGGTGATTTCCAATTATGTAACCTAGCTGTAATGAGTGTTATGTCTAACTCTGTTACCTCTTCGAATTCCATTTCGTCAATATCTCTCCATTTTGCTTCCTCTTCAATTATCCAAGATGCTTTGTCGTTATGTTGTTTTTGCTCTTCCCAAATACTCGCCCAATATGCTTCTAGTTGTTCTTTTGTAGGTAGGTTAGGTGTATGTGTGTTACGTTCATCGATTATGTCTGTTTGTGGTTTGTGTAAGTTTCTATAAAACAATTTTTCGTTTGTAGCAAATCTGACGTTATCTTTTTTGCGCTGTTGTGCTTTTTTATACCTTTTGAGCCTATGAACTTTAAGTGCTAATTTTTGTTTTAACGTGTCTAAAAATTCTTCAGGTCTTGTGTTACTTTTTTCGTGTCTGGTATGCGTAGCATTATTCCTAAATATGACCTCTACTTTTTTGACTAGTTTATTAGATCTACAACCGTTAATATACTGAGTGAGTCTACCTATGTTTGCTCTTAATTTTTCAATGTCTTTTTCTAGTCTCTGTTGCCATGCTGGTTCTGTATTTTGTCTTGTTCTTGTAGTTCTTGCATTGTCTGTGATTTTGAAGTTCAATTCTTCGGATATTACTATCGCTGTGCAGTATATAAGTAAATGTAAGTCTATAAGTTGTGTGTCATCAGATATATATTGTGTGAGTATAGTTTCATTAAATAAATTAACCAGTCGAAACAGGTTAGGTGTGTACTTAAGTTTAGGTAATCTTGGTCGCGCTGCGGGATCCATCCCAGAGTATAACGTTATTGTTGTTCTAAATTTCTCATTGATTTCTTGGATATATGTATCTGTTGTTAAGTGTTGATCTGGGACAACTATGGTCTCAATATCATTTTCTAGCGTTAGGATTACGGTTTCGGTTTGTGTGGATGTGTGTGATATTTGTGAATGGTCGCATGGCTGAGATTGTGTATAAATGAGTTGTGATTGACTGAGCAATTGTGGTTGTACTTGGCGATCATTTTCACTTGTGTTTTGTGTGATATTAGTTTCTACATAGCTGTTAGTCGCTTCTTCTTGAATTAATTGTGTTCGTACTTCTTCTTTTAATTGATCTATAACTTCTTGGGATAGAAGTTTATTCCTAACTATGGTTCTTCTTTGGTCTGAGATTCTTTGTTCTGAAACAGTAATTTCTGGATATTGTCGAGTGAAATGTGCGTGTAACTGTTGTCTGTACGTGGTCATATCGGTCTCTAATTTAGTAATGTATAGATAAGTTCTCATGATAAATAGATTTACTTCTTTACTCCATTTCATTCGAACTCTTGCTTTTCCAGCCTTGGTGGACGCGGGTAAGAAGGTAGATACCTCCCGCGCAGCACTCAAGGTCGGAGTAGGTGAAACTGTATTTAAACTAGTAATAGGGGGTGATGGAGGTGTTGGTGTCGATGGTATGGATGGTGATGTTGGCCTCGAGGGTGTGTATGATACTGTGCTTGGACTATATGGTTCTACAGGGGTGTCTGTCCTGTCCGTTAGTCTGTCACCATCGTCAATGAGTTCGGCTGTAGTATCTTTGTGGGTGGGAGCCCGCCTGTTCAACTCCTCACCGCTGACGGATCGCATGCTGTGACACCCAGCGTCAGCTCCAGGTGCACCCCGGCGATCGCCCCCGGGTAGCGGCCCTATACGTTTACTTTTAGAACGAGTCTCCATTTTATTTATGGGTTTCCAGAGCCACGTTAGCCACGCCAGTAATTTCTCATTCGTGTGTCCGCCCCCCCACGTGATTAGATGGTCAATCAGGACGTGTGGTTGTTTAGGGGGCTTATTATTATTATTATTATTATTATTATTATTATACAATTGAAACTGGTAAAAGAGATGGAGGTGTCACTATCTAGCTGCGTAGTAATTTACCTTATAAAATATTCATTATTGCTGCACCGCCTCCTATATGTCTATCTATGCTTAGCCTAAAGGTTGACTGGGATAGAATGTCCTATAGAATTAAGCTCATATGTACTACTTTGTGCATGAAAGTGTAAATAAATACAATATTCGAAACGTGATTTATGCGAGAGTGGAATTGAATAGCGGACGTAACTGACGCGATGAGCTTCGAGCAGTGTTACAAATGTTGTGTCTGTATCTTGAAGAAATAAATTACACTTGTAAATTTTCGATTTAAAAACTTTTGAAGAGAAAGCTTCTTTCGATGCGTTGGGTACTTTTGGGTTGGTGAAAAAGCATTGAACTTGCGTGATCGTCAAAATTTTCTATTATAGGAAAAGGGTGACAAGCGAGCACACAGTCCACCTGATGGTAAGTGGTATCTGTGCCCTATAGACATCTACATCTATTCTCGTTTGCGAATCAAAATGCAGATGTCAACCTTGAGGACTAAGATGGAATGCCTATTTTCCAGTAAAAAGGGTCTCCGGTCCTCTACACGCACCATACGAAACACAGCAGCATTAAGCTGTTATTTGACGCCGCTATTCTGTGAGAGCGTGGTCCTTCCCCCGGTCGAGCTGACCCATTCGTGCTACAACTATACAATTAATATAGCTGCAGCATGGCTCTACCACGTAAAAAC